AGAAACGTTGGAAGGGAGCTCTGGTGGCCTAGTGGCAAGAGGAATCCACCAGATGCTCTGCTGGAGAAGGAGAGGCAATCTCCTACTCTACCAGTCAGATCCAATTTGATGGTACACACACAAAAAAGAATAAAAATTTAAAAAAAAAACACAAAAAAACTTTGGAGTGTTTTACCAGTTTTCATTGAATTTTCCTTAATACATGTTGTTATGTGCCATCGAGTCGCTTGTGACTCATAGCGACCCTATGTACAACAGCCCTAAACTCTGTTCTGTCCTGTGCCAATCGCACCGTCTCTAACATACCCATCCCGATTACCCCAGTCATTGAATCAATCCACCTCATAGGGGGCCTTGCCCTTCTGCGCTGTCCCTTCACCCTACCAAGCATGATGTCCCTCTCCAAGGACCTGTCCCTCCTGGCAACATGTCCAAAATATGTTAGACGGAGCCTTAGAATCCTTGCCTCCAAGGAGCAGCCCGGTTTGACCCTTTCCAGGATGAATCTGTTTGTTTTCCTAGCAGTCCATGGTACCCTCAATACTCTTCTCCAGCACCACAGCTCAAAGGCACCAATTCTCCTTCTATCCTCCCTAGTCATTGTCCAACTCTCTGATGCATAACAAGTGATAGCAAAGACCATGGCCTGTATCAGGCACACCTTAGTCTCCAAAGAGAGACCATTGCTCTTCAGCACTTTGGAGAGGTCCCTAACAGCAGACTTTCCTATCGCAATACGTCTTCTAATTTCCTGGCTGCTGGTGCTGAGATTGTTGACTGTGGAGCCAAGCAAACTGAAGCTGTGAACAATCTCAATCTCTTTACCATCCATCCTGATGCTGCCAATTGGCCCAGTGGTGAGAATCTTCGTCTTCTTGACATTGAGCCTCAATCCATATTGGAGGCTGCAGTCCTTGACCCTCAGCAGCAAGCTCTTCAGGTCATTAGTTTCAGCAAGCAGGGTTGTATCATCTGCATATCGCAGATTGTTGATAGATCTTCCACCAATCTTGATACATGTTGTTGTTGTTATGTGCCTTCGAGTCGCTTGCGACTCATAGCGACCGTATGTACAACAGCTCTGAAATCTTTGAGGGTTTTGAGTAAGTGAAGAAGAGAAAGATCTCCTAGAAAACCTTCCAGAACACCAACATGAAGATGGCATAGACATATCTTGGAGGTGCTGTGGGCTCAGTCCAAGAACACTGCAAAAAAGTGTATCACAAATATTTTGGTTTCTGAGTGCATACAAGAGGGAGGGAGCTCTGATGGTGTAGTTCACAAGGAGTTGTGCTGCTAATCCAAAGGAGGCATCTCTGGCAGTTCATATCCACTAGTGACTCTTGGTGGTAAGACAGGCAATCTCCTTTGGTGCAATTTACTGTCTCGAAAAACCTGCTGGAGTGTCAGGTATCAGGTATGAGTCGCTTCTGACTCAGTGGCAGTAAGTTGGGGAGGGTTTGTGCGTGTGTGTGTGTGATATATATATATATTATATTGCTTTGTCAGTTTGAATCAGTAACCCAGAGGTAGAAAGATGGGCAATTTCTTCCTGCTAAAATTTGTAGGTTGCTGTAAGTTGGAACCGATTCAAGGGCAGAGGGCTTCTCTTGAGTGCATGTAAGAAGAGTTCTGGCAGCATTATCTGTAGGGTGTTGCATTGATGACTGAAAGGCTGTGAGATCAAATCCACTGACCACTTCTTGGGAGAAAAAGTGGGCACTATCCTAAGATTTACTGCTGCAGAATCCTGACTGAGAGTCAAGATGAGTCTGAATTGGCTCAATGGCAGGGCATTTGCTTTGAGTGCATATGAAAGTTGTTTATACTGTCCTGTTGTTTATCAAGTACGTAATGGCATTATGAAAATGTTTTAACTATGTTGTGAATTGCCAAAATGTGACAGAGACACAAGTGAGCACATAACTGTCAGAAAAATTACACAGAGAAGACTTCCTTGACTCAGTTGCCACAAACTTTCAATTTGTAAAAATAGGTAGAATCTACAGAGTGGCATCAAATCAGGTATGCTTGTATTCAGTTATGCCAAAAAGGCTAATTACTCAAGAAATTTCAAAAATGAAACTTAACTAGTCTTTACTTTATGCTAGGTTTATGAACATACCCATTGCTGTTAAGTAGAGGAATGATTTGTACAAAGTTGAGAACAAGTATCTGCTGATTTTCTCTACATATTATTAATAGACTTTGGAGAGCTTCAGAGAAAGATCTAGAGAAAACTACTATTTTTTAAAGTATTTATTCTCAACTGTGTGTATAAAAATATTCTCCTCACATTATGGAATTAAAATTCTTGCTTGAACTGAACATACTAAGTTAATATCTTCCCTAGAGATTTGCTTCTTGCTATGACACCTTCAATGATTTTAAACACAAGAAAATGTCATTTTATGCTCAAAGGCATACATGTTCTTCAATCCTAAATAGTGGCCCTCAGTCAGTACAGTTCTCAGCCTGGACTTTTGGCATATTTTAAAGGGCACTGCCAAATGGGTAAAGGAAATAGCAACAGACAATAAAGGTTTGCTTAGACATTATAATAAATTAACAGAATCAATTCACGCCTATGAAGTGATTGTTTTAAAAAAATACCCAATGAAATTTGTAAACTTTCAAATAAAGTAGATTTAAGAAATAAATATGCAAAGTTGAATTTAAAAAGAAATAAAGGCATTACTGAAAAGAAAGGGTCCCAATACTGGGAATAGAAGAGTATGGTTCCCCCCACCTCCACCCCTCAGAAACAAAACGTCTTTGGGGTTTTAGTGCTTAGTTTTAAATAAAGAGGGGGACATGGAAGAGAACCAAATAGGATAGCTGATTTAATCCCCATTACCACTTCAATCCATTCTGCTTTTAGAATTTGAAGGAGGAAAAGGGGGGGGGTGTGAGTCTCCTAAACGGGTAAAAAAAACTATGCAAAATTGCCTTTGTCTTATACACATTTCTGGTAAAGGGGCCTCCAGCTTTGATAGAGAAGAAAGTGACCATAAAAGTTAAGAACCTCTTGTTTGGAAGTTTGCCCTTTCTTCCAGGTCAGCTGTAACTAGTCTATTGATTTGCTCTGTACCACTTAAGATCTCAAGATTTGCGCCTGCTCCTTGCACCATGTTGTTAGTTGTCTCTTTCCTTGATGGTGGTGGTATGTGTGTGTCTTTATGTCAGTTGCCTCCAACTTCCCCCTTCCTTGGCAGTTCTACTCTGTACACCCCTGATATGTAAAAATAGACCCTGAATGGCTGGGACGAACGATGGAACTTATCACATTTATAAACAGACCCTTTTTTTCTTACTCTGATCTATCCTTTTGGTTCTACCGGAATTTGCCACAGAGCTGGAGGAGTCGTCTACCTAATATTTACTTTCTATTTTGGTCTAGAAACAATCACTTTGGAGGTGGTACTTTCAAGCATGTCAGATCACATTCCTGCATTGCTCTCCCTAAGTCGTGTAAAAGTCGTTTCAATTCCCTCCCTAAAGATGTTGTGAGAAAGACTCAGTGCCTGTAGTGTGTTCTTAACTCCCCAGAGAAGAACATGATGTAAAAACTAACAACAGATTTCTCTTATGTCAATTATCTCCGTATTATTTTGTCAAGTGGCAGAATCCTGCTCTTTGCCTTAATCATGTCTTCCCGAGTCAGAATGATAATACACCTACTGACGTAGCACCCTTCACCCCCTTCCACCTTCTCCAAGCCCCTCATTCCAAGTTCTCGTCTTGAATGTAACTCAAGGTAGTGCTACAACCCCAACCCTCCTTGTATTGGATAAACTGGATCTTACTCTTCGACACTTTTTTACCACTCAGTTCTAAAATCTTTTCGTTTCCTTCTAGAGTGCAGATTGGTAAATTGGTAGTGTTTGGGGATCCCCCCTCCCCTTTAAAACTTGCCTAAAATTAGTGTTCCTGAGATTCCGAATCTCAGAGAAGCGAGCAGGTCGGCCAGTGAGGGACCAAGACACTCAGGACTATTAGAAAAGAAATATCAGCCCCAGGGAGCCGCGGAGAAAGCCAGCCAAGCCGGGGTCTGAGATCCGAGGGAAGCAGCCCCCAGACTTGGCGCTCGGTGAGGCCAGCTCCGGGCAGGGCCCCGACTCCTCTGACCCCGGAGGCGCCGGGGTAAGCAGCCCCCTCCCGCCGCGCAGGGCCCGTCCCCAGGGGGAAGCCCGGCCGAGCCCGGGCCGAGGGCACTGCGCTGCGGCCTCTGGATCATCTGGAGGGCGCCGCGCGGCCAGGCCGGTGGGTGGCGGCGACCAGCGGCCCCCGGGGATGGCGGCGGCCCGGGAGCAGCAGCGAGGGCGGGCTCCGCCAGCAGGTGGC